TCAGAAATATTCCTGCTCATTGACTAATCCCATGTATGTCTCACAGTGAATACATTCTAGAACCGTTTCTGATGCTATGCAATGATTCCCTGGACGTGTGTACTTTACTTTAACTGGTGCATACATTCTCCAGGAGAGTTTCTTAAAAAATGTCGGGGAGGAGTCTCTATGCTGCTGTTCCTGGTTAAGAGGCAAATAAATAGTGTTAATATCGCTGATGAAACAGATTAAACACGTTGTCAGAAGAAAATGCTTAAATTACGTCTCTGACTAATATGCATTAGCGGTGGAAAAACATGCTTCGCGCTCTTTTGGTCCTTTTGTGGCGGGACGGCAGTAAAGCACGGCACATCCGTGACAGGAAGATGAAATTGAAAGCCACTCATCTGTTTAAATATCCACTTCATTGTCAGTTGCTAATGAAAATAATATTTTACTGTTAAATTTGAATGGGCAAAATTGCATTAAAAAATATATAAACCAAGAGAGCCTGACTGATGTGAGAGGAGCGAGGGAGAGGAAGAGAGAGAATAGACTGAGTGGGAGAGGGAGAGGAGAGGAGGGGGTTGAGGGAGAGACTGCTTGATGCCCCTCTCTGCCATCTTATTACCGCAATGCTGCTGAGCTCTTGGAAAATCCCAGAATGGAATATATTTTCTGCTCATTGAAAAGCAATTTATCATGTTGTGGTATATGGCTTCATCTTAGTCTTAGTTTTAACTATGCAAATAGATAAGGGCATGCATTGCCCTTCCACATCAGGCATCAGCTGTTAGCTAGAATGCTCCCATTCTAGTTGTTTTTCTATTGATTATGCATATTCTCACCAATGCGTCTCAAGACAGAATTTATTTAACACACCTGCTCACACATTAAACAACGCACGATGGAAATTCGACAACAATGGTGTCAGGTTTCAAAATCCTATAAGCTACGCAACCAGCCATCCAGTTTAACAGACTCTTTGTACCATGGTGTAACAATCCCACTCCAAAGCTAGACGTAAGTGTAAAATTAATCATCATCTGGTCCGGTCAATAACTTAAGTTATTGACAGGTATAGCAGTAGTTCAAGCCTTAGTTCCTTTACTGTATCTGTGGCAACGTCATAATAACTACTAGCTGCCATCAGCGCCTTTCAGTCTGTCCCCTATATGGTGGCTGCAGGGACCTGATGGATCAGTGGATGAGGGGAGCAGCAGAACAGCAGGACCAGTGGCTAAAGGGTAGTTTAGTATGGAGTACTATAGAGACCTGTGGTGTAACTAGACTGTCTGCAGCAACACCACAGGTGAGAGGTAGCAAGGTTTTGTCTAGGAAGCTGTGACTGACACCCACTGTGTAAAGTGGCTGAACAAAAAAAGTCAGCACCATCTTACCTACAGGGATTTGGTAGAGAAGTTACAAAACATGTGGATGGATGGCCCTGACCTTTTCTCATGGATATAAACACAGCCGTGCATTCAGCAGTAGCTAGTGAAAGTGGGGACGATGAACAAGCAGAGTAAATCTGGTAACTAAAACCTCCTGATTTAGGTGAACGGATGACTTACGAGCCTTCTGAGGATAAAAGCTAATTAACTTGCCAGCGGCGTGTGGATTTGCCTCATGACATTAAGCGCAGAGACATATGGTAAAGTTACAGGTAATTGGATTAGTGTGATTAATACAACTCATCAGTTGTAACGCGTTAAAGAGTATGAATCACTACGATAAACGTCCGACTCAGTATTGTCTGTTCGACTAAGGGACCAACCACGGCAGCTGCTAGTCATCCACATACACATGCATTGACACAGACACACAATCTGCCTCTAAGAAGGTGTTTTTGGAGTAGCACTCCTACATCCTACAGTACACTCTGAGATCATTGGTGTGACAGAACATCAGGATCAGTGACAGTGGTGTAAACTAAATATATTAAAATGTTTTCTCTATATTCAAATCTCAGTTAGATGACAGCCAATCCTAAATGAGTCAGAGAGTGCTGTGCCACTGGCTGTGCCTGTAGGATATCTCGATAGCAGCTCTTCTCTGAGAGGATAAATCCAAACCAGTGCCTTACCTACAGATGGTCAACCTTCAATCGTAATGCCCATTCCATCACACCCATGTTATCAACTATACTGAACAAAAATATAAACGCAACATGTAAAGTGTTGGACAGAAATTTTCCATACACACTAAAAAGCGTATTTCTCTCAAATTTTCTGCACATATTTGTTTACATCCCTGTTAGTGAGTATTTATCATTTGCCAAGATAATCCATCCACCTGACAGGTGTGGCATATCAAGAAGCTGATTAAACAGCATGATCATTATACAGGTGTACCTTGTGCAGGGGACAATAAAAGGCCACTCAAAATTTTTGTCACACAACACATTGACACAGATATCTAAAGGTTTAAAGAATTTGGCAGTATGTCCAACCAGCCTCATAACCGCAGACCACGTGTAACCACGCCAGCCCAGGCCCTCTACATCCGTCTTCTTCACCTGCGCGATTTTCTGAGACCAGCCACCCGGACAGCTGTCTGTAATAAAGCCATTTTGTGGGGAAAAACCTATTCTGATTGGCTGGGCCTGACTCCCAAGTGGGTGGGCCTATGCCCTCCCAGGCCCACCCATGGCTGTGCCTCTGCCCAGTCATGTGAAATCCATAGATTTCAATTGACGGATTTCCTTATATGATTTCCTTATGATTTCCTTATATGATTTCCTTATATGAACTGTAATTCAGTAAAATCGTTGAAATTGTTGCATGTTGCGTTTATATTTTTGTTCAGTATAGTTTGAAAAGAAAACATCTCATTTTCAGCCCCTAAGTGAATATTTATGGTTCACCTCACAGCAACCTGCGAAAACAATCTCCACCAACCAACCAGCCGGCATGCAGATAGTTTCCAGCTAAATGTGAGATTCCTCTTTTTGCCATAGTTAAGCGATGTTGCTGGCCTGGAGCGTTGTGCACTGCTCTCCCCCTGTGCTGGGAAGTTGCCTGGGAGCACCGCTCTAATCTGTAGAGGGCTTCTGGAGACAACTCAACATCTGTCCCCCCTCCAGGCCTGTGGCATCGCACCCACCACGGTACTCACACACACACACACACACACACACACACACACACACACACACACACACAGATGCACTAAAGCAGACACACACACACACACACATGCAGATGCACGTACGCAGACACACACACTACCAGACACATCCATTGAGCACGTGCACACACACACAGACACACTCTCTCACACATACTGAAACACATGTTGTATACCCACACACTTACAGATACACAAACACCAGAAACCACTACTACTGAGTAGAGTAAAGGTGGATGTAGGGATCCCACTCTAAATGTCCCTAGCAGCTTGCTGTATGTGTCTATGTCTGTCTAGCCCATCTCCACAATGTCTGGAGCGGAGCCTGTTATCTGTCTATGGGACAGGGAACTCATTACAGCCTGCCTGCTCAAACACATTGTGTCACCGCCTCACTACACACACTCCCCTCTCCTTAAAAAAGACCTAAACACGGCACAAACTGTCTGCACACACACCAGGCAATCTTCCTCCTCTAGTAATCTATGGTGTTTTACTAAAGGGAGAGTACATGGTGTGTATGTAAACTTGAAATATCTTCCCAGTTTATGCATGATTCACTATGGGGACACAATCATATTGGAGTGAGCAGCATTGGCCCAGAGGGGAAAGCCATCTCCTATGTCAGAAGCTGTTATAGGGGGGTGTTAGTAAACATATGATAGTGCATGTCTCTGGAAAGCTGTAAAGAACCCTCTCGGTTTTCAAATCTTTATCCCGACCCCCCCGGCCACCTCACAGCTCTCTGGGGACCTGTTATGAACCTGTAAGGGCAGCGCTTATAAATCCACCTTTCCCCTGCCCCCTCTTCATCACACCTCTGGGGCTGAGGCTGCACCACGGAGCAATGGGCAGCTACTCCAAAACCCAACCCACCATCCCTCCATCCCTTCCTGCTTCTGTTCCTCTCTGTTCAGCCCAGTACAGTACAGACAGATCCCTCTGTGCACTGTGTGCAGGGCCAGGGATGGAGAGAGGAGAACGCTGTCTGTTCTGTCGATGGCAGACACAGAGAACACGCAGATTAGAGAACAGCAGACAGTGTGAGCTAAATCTAAGCCTTCTGCCTGGGATGGGCCATATGAGAGGGTCCCCTATAAATGACTAGACCCCCACCATGTCGGAGTTAAACCACAGCCCCATGGGCTATCACATAGACACACAGAATTTGGTGGATCAAGAAGAAAGAAAGTGATATCAGGTACCTCACAATAAACATATAGCTGAATGGAACAGTAATGGTTCAAGGGAGTGAAGCTGCTCTCCACACCTTTGTAGCCAGCTTTTTTTCACTCAAATCTATGGTGGAAGCAGAGGGGGAAAATTACCAGTCCCTGATCAACATTACAACATCACAAGACAGTGACAATGAGACAAGTAGAGGAGATCAAGGAGATTAGAAGAGAGGTTTTAGAAGCAAAAAAGAAGCTGAAGAACAGAGAGGACACCATACAGGCTCTGAACGAGCAGCTACCCAGGGTCACTCCCCCCAGCCCACCTCCCACCGTGCTCCACCCACTCACCCCCACCAGCTCTCCAGGATATCACTCTCCACCCAACACCAACCTGTCTCCTACAGAAGATCCCTCTCCAACTGACACCAACTCTCCTCCCTCAGATCACTCTCCAACAAATAACCTCCCTACCACCTCTGCTAGCTCAACCAACACTCCTACCTCAGCTCAGCTCCAAGAACAACCTGGGATTGGAGTCATTCTCATTCTCTGTGAAATTGTGCACTAAGGCCTAACGTATTTTTGGCACACCACAAAGACATCCACCCTCACCAGATGCAAGACCACATCCACCTAAACATGTGTGGTGTAAAAGTATTTGCAAGGGTGCTAAAGTACACAGCAAATATGAGAAGAAAGACCAGGAGCATCCAGCCTATGGGAAGCCAGCAAATAAGAACACCACAGGCTCACACCCAGAGAGTCCAGCACTCTGCTCAGAGAGGCCAGCTTTCCGCCCAGAGAGGCCAGCACTCCGCCCAGACAGGCCAGCTTTCCGCCCAGAGATGCCAGCACTCCGCCCAGACAGGCCAGCGCTCCACCCAGAGGCCAGCACTCCACCCAGAGAAGCCAGCACTCCGCCCAGAGAAGCCAGGACTCCGTCCAGAGAGGCCAGCGCTCCGTCCAGAGGCCAGCACTCTGCCCAGAGAAGCCAGCACTCCGCCCAGAGAAGCCAGCGCTCCACCCAGAGAAGCCAGCACACTGCCCAGAGAAGCCAGCACTCCGCCCAGAGAGCCCAGCACTCTACCCAGAGAGCCCAGCCATCCTCCCAGAGAGATCTTCACCTCACCCAGAGAGACCATCCCCTCAACCATAGACCCCAGCAACACTTCCCCAGTGACCAGTACTTCGCCCCGAGAGCCCAACTCTCCACCCAGAGAGTCCAGAAATATAATTATTAGAAATACAACCTATAAGAGCGCATACAAAATGTTTTCTCAGGACTCTTTTGTTGAAGATGTGAAAATGTATGTTGGTCTGATGTGTATAAGGAGGAGAATCCAGATGCAGCACTTGGAGTATTTGTAAAATGATTCTTGCCAGTTAACAAGCATGCACCTGTTAATAAACAAACTGTAAGAACTGTTAGAGCCCTCGAGATTGATGATGAATTGAAAAAGATGAGATGCAAAAAAGGTGGCAAACAAGTTCAGGCTGCTCAGGTTATTGGTTGACATACTGTCAGTTGAGACATTTTGTGACTAAACTTAACAAAAAATAAGAAATTACTAAAACAAGATAAATAACATAAAAGAAAGATGGGAAAAGACTTTGGAGCACCTTAAATGACTGTATGGTCAGAAAACCCAATTCGTCTCCATTGTTCATTGAAGTTGATGGGTCATTTATAACAAAACCTTTTGATATAGCCAATAATTTCAATGAATATTTCACTGGTAAAGTGGACAAACTGAGAAGCGAAATGACAACATTGAACAGTGAACCATTATTTGTGTATTGAAGATCTAATAATGAAAGAGAAGGATTGCTGTTTGGAATTTGGTCAGGTTTGTGTGGAAGAGGTGGAAAAACGATTGTGTTTGAACAAATACAATGTTATTTTTCAAAGAGCAAGCTAACTACTGACTTTCAGCATGTATATAGGGAAGGGCACTCAACTTGTACTGCACTGACTCAGATGACTGATGATTGGCTAAAATACATGGATAAGAAGATGACAGTTGGAGCTGTATTGTTAGATTTCAATTCAGCCTTTTATGTTATTGATCATAATTTGTTATTGAAAAAACAAACTTGTTATGGCTTTACATCACCTGCCATCACATGGTTGGAAAGTTTACCTATCCAATAGAACTCAGAGAGTATTATTCAATGGAAGCTTCTCTAACATCAGATATGTACAATGTGGTGTCCCTCAGGGTAGTTGCCTTGGGCTGTTACTCATCTCTATTTTTACAAATGTTTTGCCACTTGTCTTACAAGAAGCTAAAATGATTATGTATGCTAATGAATGCACACTCTACACATCAGCACCTTCAACCAGTGAGCTCAAGGAGACTCTTAGCAAGGAGTTACAGACAGTGTCAGAATGAGAAATTAACAATAAACTGGTCTTAAATACATCTAAAAACAAAAGCGTTGTATTTGGTTCAAAGCATTCACTTAGACATAAACCTCAACTGGAGTTGCGCATAAAGGGTGTGACCATTGAACAAGTTACAGAAGTTGAGCTCCTAGGAGTAACATTGGATAGTCAGTTATCATGGTCAAGTCATATTGACAAAGTTGTTGTAAAGATGGGGAGAGGTGTGTCTGTTACAAAAAGTTCTGCATTTTTGCACAAAGATCAACTGTACTAGTTGTTCAGGCTCTGATCTTTTCCCATCTTGATTACTGTCTGGTAAGATGGTCAGGTGCAGCAAAGAAAGACCTAGCAAAGTTGCAGCTGGCTCAAAACAAAGCAGCACGCCTTGCTCTTAACTGCACACATAGAACTAACATCAACAACATGCATGACGGACTTTCATGGTTATTTCACTTATAATTCACTGTATCACAATTCCAGTGGATCAGAAGTTTACATACACTAAGTTGACTGTGCCTTTAAACAGCTTGGAAGTTCCAGAAAATGATGTTATGGCTTTAGAAGCTTCTGATAGGCTAATTGACATATTTTGACTTAATTGGAGGTGTACCTGTGGATGTATTTCAAGGCCTACCTTCAAACTCAGTGCCTCTTTGCTTGACATCATGGGAAAATCAAAAGAAATCAGCCAAGACCTCAGAAAAATTATTGTAGACCACCACAAGTCTGGTTCACGCTTGGGAGCAATTTCCAAACGCCTGAAGGTACCATGTTCATCTGTACAAACAAAATTACGCAAGTATAAACACCATGGGACCACGCAGCCGTCATACCGCTCAGGAAGGAGACGCGTTCTGTCTCCTAGAGATGAATGTACTTTGGTGCGAAAAGTGCAAATCAATCCCAGAACAACAGCAAAGGACCTTGTGAAGATGCTGGAGGAAACAGGTACAAAAGTATCTATATCCACAGTAAAACTAGTCCTATATCGACATAACCTGAAAGGCCGCTCAGCAAGGAAGAAGCCACTGCTCCAAAACCGCCATAAAAAAGACAGACTACGGTTTGCAACTGCACATGGGGACAAAGATCGTACTTTTTGGAGAAATGTCCTCTGGTCTGATTAAACAAAAATCCCAACCGTGAAGCACGGGGGTGGCAGCATCATGCTGTGGGGGTGCTTTTGCTGCAGGAGGGACTGGTGCACTTCACAAAATAGATGGCATCATGAGGAAGGAAAATTATGTGGATATATTGAAGCAACATCTCAAGACATCAGTCAGGAAGTTAAAGCTTGGTCGCAAATGGGTCTTCCAAATGGACAATGACCCCAAGCATACTTCCAAAGTTGTGGCAAAATTGCTTAAGGACAACAAAGTCAAGGTATTGGAGTGGCCATCACAAAGCCCTGACCTCAATCCTATAGAACATTTGTGGGCAGAACTGAAAAAGCATGTGCGAGCAAGGAGGCCTACAAACCTGACTCAGTTACACCAGCTCTGTCAGGAGGAATGGGACAAAATTCACCCAACTTATGGGAAGCTTGTGGGAAGCTTGTGGAAGGCTACCCGAAACGTTTGACCCAAGTTAAACAATTTCAACGCAATGCTACCAAATACTAATTGAGTGTTTGTAAACTTTTGACCCACTGGGAATATGATGAAACAAATAAAAGCTGAAATAAATCATTCTCTCTGCTATTATTCTGACATTTCACATTCTTAAAATAAAGTGGTGATCCTAACTGACCTAATACAGGGATTTTTTTACTAGGATTAATTGTCAGGAATTGTGAAAAACTGAGTTTAAATCTATTTGGCTAAGGTGTATGTAAACTTCCGACTTCAACTGTACCATAATGCAAAAACAGGTTTTTAGAAAGCTTTGCAAATGTATTAAAAATAAAAAAGTATTCAGACCCTTTACTCAGTACTTTGTTGAAGCAACTTTGGCAGTGATTACAGCCTCGAGTCTTCTTGGGTATGACGCTACAAGCTTGGCAAACCTGTTTTGGGGAGTTTCTCCCATTGTTCTCTGCAGATCCTCTCAAGCTCTGTCAGGTTGGATGGGGAGCATTGCTGCACAGCTATTTTCAGGTCTGTCCAGAGATGTTCGATCGGGTTCAAGTCCGGGCTCTGGCTGGGCCACTCAAGGACATTTAGAGACTTGTCCCGAAGCCACTCCTGCATTGTCTTGGCTGTGTGCTTAGGGTCGTTGTTCTGTTGGAAGATTAACCTTTGCCCCAGTCTGAGGTCCTGAGCGCTCTGGAGCAGGTTTTCATCAAGGATCTAAGGCCTGATTGGTGGAGTGCGGCAGAGATGGTTGTCCTTCTGGAAGGTTCTCCCATCTCCACAGAGGAACTCTAGAGCTCTGTCAGAGTGACCATCAGGTTCTTGGCCACCTCCCTGACCAAGGCCCTTCTCCCCCGATTGCTCAGTTTGGCCGGGCGGACAGATCTAGGAAGAGTCTTCATGGTTCCAAACTTCTTCCATTTCAGAATGATGGAGGCCACTGTGTTCTTGGGGACCTTCAATGCTGCAGACATTTTTTGGTACCCTTCCCCAGATCTGTGCCTCGACACAGTCCTGTCTCGGAGCGTTACGGACAATTCCTTCGACATTATGGCTTGGTTTTTCCTCTGACATGCACTGTCTACTGTGGGACCTTATATAGACAGGTGTGTGCCTTTCCAAATCATGTCCAATCAATTGAATTTACCACTGGTGGAACTCAATCAAGTTGTAGAAACATCTCAAGGGTGATCAATTGAAACAGGATGCACCAGAGCACAAATTTCATAGCAAAGGGTCTGAATACTTATGTAAATAAGGTATTTCTGTTTTTTATTTTTCGCTTTGACATTATGGGGTTTTGTGTGTAGATTGCTGAGGATTATTTTTTTTAAAATCCAATTTAGAATAAGGCTGTAACGTAACAAAATGTGGAAAAAGTCAAGGGGACTGAATACTTTCTGAAGGCACTGTATAGAGCCATGTCATCGTGGAATGCTCTGCCACCGGAGGTTACTCAGGCAAAAAGTTTAGCTTAAAAAACTGAAAAAAACATATTGAATCACAGCGCCTCTGTTCTTTCTAAAGATCTAATTTAACTCTATATAAGAATATGAATATGTATGAATAGTGTGTAAACAGTATTTTTGTTGTCTCTTGTGTCTTTCCAATATATAATTCTTATTTTATATACATATTTTTTTATGTTTTATATACACTACCAGTCAAAAGTTGACACACCTACTCATTCAAGGGTTTTTCTTTATTTGTACTATTTTCTACATTGTAGAATAATAGTGAAGAAGTCAATACTATGAAATAACACATATGGAATCATATAGTAACCAGAAAAGTGTTAAACAAATCAAAATATATTTTAGATTTTAGATTCTTCAAAGTAGCCACCCTTTGCCTTGATGACAGCTTTGCACACTCTTCACATTCTCTCAACCAGCTTCATGAGGTAGTCACCTGGAATGTTTTTCCAACCGTCTTGAAGGAGTTCCCATATATGCTGAGCAGTTGTTGGCTGCTTTTCCTTCACTCTGCTGTCCAACTCATCCCAAACCATCTCAATTGGGTTGAGCTCGGGTGATTGTGGAGGCCAGGTCATCTGATGAATCACTCCATTACTCTCCTTTTTGGTCAAATCGGATCACTGTCCTGTTGAAAAACAATTGATAGTCCCACTAAGCACAAACCATCGCTGCAGAATGCTGTGGTAGCCATGCTGGTTAAGTGTGCCTTGAATTCTAAATAAATCACAGACAGTGTCACCAGCAAAACACCCCCACACCATCACACCTCCTCCTCCATGCTTCACGGTGGGAACCACACATGCGGAGATCATCCGTTCACCTACTCTGCGTCTCACAAAAACACGGCGGTTGGAACCAAAAATCTCAAATTTGGACTCATCAGACCAAAGGACAGATTCCCACCGGTCTAATGTCCATTGCTCGTGTTTCTTGGCCCAAGCAAGTCTCTTCTGTTGGTGTCCTTTAGCAGTGGTTTCTTTGCAGCAATTCAATCATTCAACGCAGTCTCCTCTGAACAGTTGATGTTGAGATTTGTCTGTTACTTGAACTCTGTGAAGCATTTATTTGGGCTGCAATCTGAGGTGCAGTTAATTGCCGATTTTCTGAGGCTGGTAACTCTAATGAACTTATCCTCTGCAGCAGAGGTAACTCTGGGTCGTCCTTTCCTGTGGCAGTCCTCATGAGAGCCAGTTTAATCGTAGCGTTTGATGGTTTTTGCGACTGCACTTGAAGAAACGTTAAAAGTTCTTGACATTTTCCGTATTGACTGACCTTCATGTCTTAAAGTAATGACGGACTGTCGTTTCTCTCTGCTTATTTGAGCTGTTCTTGCCATAATATGGACTTGGTCTTTTACCAAATAGGGCTATCTTCTGTATACCACCCCTACCTTGTCATAACACTACTGATTGGCTCAAACGCATTAAGAAGGAAAGAAATTCCACAAATTAACTTTTAACAAGGCACACCTGTTAATTGAAATGCATTCCAGGTGACTACCTCATGAATCTGGTTGAGAGAATCCCAAGAGTGTGCAAAGCTGTCATCAAGGCAAAGGGTGGCTACTTTGAAGAATCTCAAATATAAAATATATTTTGATTTGTTTATCACTTTTTTGGTTACAACATGATTCCATATGTGTTATTTCATAGTTTTGATGTCTTCACTATTATTCTACAATGTAGAAAATAGTAAAAATAAAGAAAAACCCTTGAATGAGTAGGTGTGTCCATACTTTTGACTGGTACTGTATAACATATATATATTTGATTTTATTATATATATATTTTGTTTTTGTTTTGTTACTGTAATGTCCTTGTCTATAACTGTTCTGTATTTTGTCATGTATTTGTAAATTTTATGTGGACCCCAGGAAAAGTAGCTGCTGCATGTGCAGTAGCTAATGGGGATCCTAATAAACTAAACTAAAACTAAACAGACAGGGAGACAGACTGTGTTACAACCAATCTCCCTCATGGTCATCCATCAATTCTAAACTATGGCAGTGAGAGAGATGTGTATTGAAAATAAGAATGTGGAATGTTTATGCCGCCCCCATGATATCGTAACAGGCAGACAGAGAGAGAGAGAGAAACACCCACTCACAGACAGTACACACTAACTAAAAACACAGCCAAGCTGCAACCTCTAAGCATACTGTTTAGGATAGGGGCAGGGATAGAAAAGACAAATAGATGGAGAGAGAAGAAAGAGAGAGAGAGAGCGAGAAAGAGAAAGAGAAAGAGAGCGAGAGTGAAGGAAAGAGAAAAAGCGAGAGAGATAACCAAGGTAATGAAGAGGTTGATATGCCTGCACTGCTGTGACACTTCCTAGTTGTGTTTTAGAGGGACAAAATTAACAATAATTAGAGATTAATATCAATGATTAAATGTTTCTATAAATGATTATTCCAGTAATTAGAATCAGCAGGATGTAATATGCTGCAGTATTAATTTTTTACATGCACATCAAGTTGTGATCACACTATGTTCTCTCCTCTGTAATGAGATATACAGCCTTCAGTCTACCCAGGTATCCTGGTTTACACCATTTTGGTATGAGGAGAGAACATGGGATGACTCACTGTTCACGCGACGTGATTAGAGAGCTGGATCCCTACTCCTTTAATGAATTGATTTTTCCACAAGGAAAGAATGAAAATGCCCTGTTGCAGGGAAAAAAGACTGACCTTCAAGGGGATTTGGGGATTTGCGATGGTATTAGACAGAGAGACGATGGCAGATGTATTTACTAAAATACCACATTACTAAAAGACCACAGTCAAAATATGGTTGTAGGCAGGGCCGGTTCCAGGCATAAGCGACATAAGCAGTCGCTTAGGGCCCCCTCTCAACTCTCAACTTAATGTTGAGAGTAAGAATAGTACAATGAATACACCAGGTGCAATTTTCAAAATGTGGTTGTGCATCAGCAGTTTTTCTCTTGTTATGTCAGTCACTGACAGTCACAAAATTAGCCATGTCAGCTAACAATTTTTAGATTGGTAGTTAGTCTAGCCAGCAATTTAAACTTGCAGTAATCCTGTTTGAATACAGACCGGGCATGCAGGGCACGTGCCCAGGGGCCCTGACCTCCAGGGGGCCCCCACTGATTTAGTTATTAATTCTCACTCAAGTCATTACAAAATGTGTAGATTGCAGGAAAGTTCTTTAAAACTGCAAAAATGTCTCTCCATCCCATGGATATATTTTTTGAATTACAGGAAATTAGCTGTAAAAATGAAAAATGTTCTCTCTGCCCCATGGCAAAATGTGTAGAATTGCATGAAATGTGCCATAAAATTTAAATATTTTCTCTATGCCCCATGGCAAAATGTGTAGAATTGCAGAAAATAAACTTTAAAACTAAAATGTCTCTCTCCACCATGAAGAGGGGGGCCACTAAAATGTTTTGTCGTGAGGCTAGAGCCGGCCCTGGTTGGGAGGAAGGCAGGGAAAGGCTAGGTTGTAGGAAATGAAATGAAATATAAAACTAATAACAATGGCATTGTAAACCCCAGTGAATAGACAGTGGATGTCTGATGTCTGCTATTAAGAACTAGTGAAGTCTCATCATCATCATAATTTGTAATCTCTCTAAGTTACATGTTGAGATCAACAACCATATGTCTATCAGCTCATGTCCTTAGGAAAGCATGGTCTATTGTAAAGGACATGACATTGTCTTTTGTCCACAGTGGCTGAAGCATAGCAGGTTAAACCAAACCATAGTAAGTCGCTACGCTAGCTCCTGCCCCAGCCTCACGCTTGTGGTTGAAGATATAAATCTTCTGGGGCACGGATTCACCTCTAACTAACCACATTTGTGGACAATTTACAGTGGTGGATCTCTGTTAAAACCCACCAATAAATGAATCTAGGGAGTGTGGGGCTGGATGGCTGCAGGTTGCCAGGCCCAAGATAAATTCCTGCGAGGTTCTGGTAATCTTAATCCTCAATAATCAAGGTCAGCAGAGTCAAGGCAAAGAGTTAGAGCACAGACATGTCGGGCCTGGGGCTAAAGAAAAATCCTCCAACCTATATTTCTCTAGTCTCATTTCTAACTCTCTGTTTATTAACTCAGGGTATAGCCAGGATGAGAGTCTAAGGGCTGGTTACAAGCACATAATCTCACCTGATTTTTCAAGGAGTTTTGCGCCCAAAGGTGAAAAAGTACCTCGGTTATCAACAGGTTAGGTTATGTAGAAGATTCATAAGACTGACAGAAATCAGAGGGAATGTGACTTTACCCGCACTCATGAGATTAAAAACAAGCTGTGCAATGCCACCATGGCCAAACCTCCCCTGAGCATCTTCTCAGATAAATGTCCATTTCACAAGCAGGGGGAGAGCATCATGGCATGATTACGACACGGTAAATGTCAGATATTCTTCATCCCCACTTATTAGTTGCTGTAAGAGAGGGCCGAATAGAAAACGCTGACCCGCATCAGCAGCAGCCCTCTCTCTCGCCTCCGCAAGACGAAGATTCTCTGACCTCTAAAAATATGGCACAAGTTACAGCACCCAGCCAACCAACCAGCATCCAGGGCCATGGCAGCGGGGGCAGACACATGCTTTTCCTCGAGCCAAGAGTTGACAGGAGAGTGGGCTTTATTCAAGCAAGGCAGAATAAAAGAATAGCTTTGCTATAACAAAGAGAAAGACACCTCTGGGCTGTGTCAAATTACTGCAGGAGATATGAATAATTCAGCTGCAAAATACACTGGCTCAAATGTTGAGGAGGGATTACAGCTAGGGAGGATGGTTAGTGTCTATAAAAAAAAACTGACACTGGCACAGAGAAAGGTTTGCTTTCCCACTTTCCCTCTACATGTGAACAGGGTGCCCTCTTGAGCTACAAGGTTTCTCCTGCTTTGATCCTCCAATACGACTCATTTCCAAGTTGTTAAACGTATCCATCTGTTTTCCCGGAGCCCAGACAGCAGCCCAGCACTGTGCTGCCCTACTCCCCGCACCCAGCCCAGCAAGCACCTTGATCATCCACACAGGTTGGTTTCCACAGAAATGCCCAGGAGCAAGGCAAGTTTATCCCTCACGCTGTGGCAAAGATAGATGTGTCAGTCCGCATCCATCCATCTGTTGTTGCCCCCCTGCGCGTCAGCTCCTCACAGTATCTCCTATCTGCGAACAAAATGAATGCCACGGCTGGGCCGGATGAGGCTGGTCAGCTTGACAGAAACCCCTGTGGCCATCGGCCAAATAACTTCAGGGGCTTTGGCCGTAAATTGTGGCAGCTTCACATGAGATGGAGCCACAATGCAATTTTCCCCAGCAGTCGAGACACAGTAAATAAAGGTGGTAGGAGGGCAGTACAGTTAGCTGGGAGCCTTCAGTCAGATAACCTCCCAGTGAAATCAGACCAATACTAACAGCAGGCCCGGTGAGATCCACAGAGGATTACAGCAGTGGAGTGACAAAGAGGAACAAAGCCACACTCATCCCTGTGTATGAGGAAACCACATCCTGAGTGGTTTCTTGGTTCTGACTATGTCTTCCTGAGGCAGACCTTGTGCCAACCTACATATTTAAATTAGGAGAGCATGGTTCTGAGAGGGTCCGACTAATGAGCCTGTGGGGTGAGGGGCGAGGGGGAATGTGGTGGGTGTCGAGGACAGAAAGACCAGCCACTAAGTATGCCTAGACGGACATCTGCTGCGCTTTACCAGCCACCACTAATATCCGCTATGTCACCAGAACACTGAGGCCACAGCCCCATAGCCCTGCTGGTGGCACATGCCCACGTCCTTCAGCCACAGCCTCTCTCTTCCTCCACGAAAGCATCAAGTTTACCTGGGACCAATTCGCAGAACACAACTGACTATTGGGATGGCCTTACGTGACCAGATCAGATGTGTAGGTTACTTATCTAGCAGGTTAGCGTTTTTCGTCATGAATCTTGTTCTGGAGACAGCTCTGCAGAGTTGGCACTAGCTGCCACAGCCACAAAGTCATAAAATCTGATTTTAAACCACACTGCTAACCCTAATGTCAAAACCTTCAATTAAGACTAAAAAGCATTTTTGTTTTCATGAATTTTTACAATATAGCCAATTTTGACTTTGCAGCTATCCTTTCTAGGGGGTATTTGCTCAGTTCTGCCTCCAGGACAAGCCTCATAACAATAAACCCTCAATTTGCACTTAGCAACTGTGCTCTCTGTTGACTCCGTTGAATAAAACTGCCATTATACATGCTATACAATAGTATAAAATATCCACTCTCACCTAACACTGCTCAAGATACGAGACACTGTATACAAGTAGCATTTGTAGAGAGAGAGAGCAATCCTGAAGAACCGCTAAACGCTTATTAATAAACACACTCAAATTAAGCATCTCCCAAGACGCATTGCTCATAGAAATGGGGTCAGACACTTTCCATGTTCCTCTTAAAGATCCATAGGCAAGCCCAGGGTTACCAGTCAGAGACTGAGGCCAGCAGCTAACACATTAGTCGGGGGAATGGGCAGGCCAGCCATCAAGCAACAGACAGGAAAGAAACGCAGACTAATGAAACAAACTATCTGCGGTTTTTGTTTCAGGGAGAATAAATAAATAAGCATGAAAAATAATAATCCTCAACACTGGGCCACATGCAATGATTAAAGAAAAAACTGCCGACCCAATTATTTAAGGGAGAACGAAAGGCAGCGGTGAAGATTGTTGAAAGGGTAAACAATGGGGAGAACATGGCTGGTTACAAGCAAAAACCCATGCTGGCTGCATCTGCTCCCGGAGCCCTGCCTGGCGCAATATCACGCTGACACACCGCGTGCTGCAGGCCTAGCATGGGAGGAGCAGTGGAACCTGGGCTGTTTACCTGGCTAATGCCCAGACAGCGGTGGTAGATCACTTTCCTCTGTTGCTCTACCTACTGTTGTATTTGTATTTGTATTTATTATGGATCCCCATTAGCTGCTGCCAAGGCAGCAGCTACTCTTCCTGAGGTCCAGCAACATTAAGGCAGTTTATACTTTTTTTGCAACATTACAATACATTCACAACACACTGTGTGTCCTCAAGCCCCTACTCTACTGCCACATATTTACAGTACAAAATCCATGTGTATGTTATCGTGTGTGTGTATGCATGTGTCCGTGCCTATGTTTGTGTTGCTTCACAGTCCCCGCTGTTCCATAAGTGTATTTTTATCTATTTTTTTAAATCTAATTTGTGTAGTCAATGTAGTCATGTCTCTATGTAGTACTGTGCGCCTCCCATAGTCTGTTCTGGACTTGGGGACTGTGAAGAGACCTCTTGTGGCATGTCTTATAGGGTATGCATGGGTGACCGACAGGGTATGCAGTAGTTCAAACAGACAGCTCGGTGCATTCAACATGTCAATACTGTAAGGTTCTGTATTTATTTTCTTAGTCAACCTTGTGTTCTTGAACGTAGCCTGTTTCTTTGTGTTCTTGAACGTAGCCCTGTCTTTCATTTTTGTTCATTGATTTCACCTGTGTTAGTTACTCACCTGGTCTCATCAGCTCCTTATTTAGTTCAGGTCATTCTGCTTGTGCCTTGTGAGTTATTGTTCGTTTTGACTCTACTAAGCCTTTTCCTAGCTCGTTTGTGAGAACCAGTTATAGCCTTCAGTCCTAGTTTTTGATTATCCTGCCTGTTTGCCTACCTGTGTATGACCATTGCCTGCCTGTGACCACGATTCCTGCCTTCTGCGAGTGAATCTACACCTTTTTCCACTGAGTATTCATTACAAATATCTCACCCAAAAAACGGAATGGATTCAGCGGAGCAACAGCGGCGCCTAACCCAGCAAGAGGAGTGTATAGAGGAAATCTGCCATCTTCTCCGCCAGCCTATCCCTGCTCCTCCGATGCCAGGTATCGTATCCCATAGCCCTCCTTCATTCCTATCCATGCCTGGAAAATATGACGGTTCACCTTGGAAATGTCAGGGATTTCTGATGCAATGCAGCAAATACATTGAGCACAACCCCACTAACTTCGCCACCGACAAGAGCAAGGTGGATTTTGTTGTGTCTCTACTCACAAGCAAAGCCCTGGATTGGGCTACCGCCATATGGACTGCCAACAGCACAGAACTCGGATCCGAGGCCCATTTCCACACCCTCTTCAAATAGGTATTCGATCACTCTCCTTCCGGTCGTCCTATAGGAGACCTCCTCATAGAACTTCAACAAGGATGCAATTCAGCTGCCGAGTATGCCCTTGAGTTCTGCACCATGGCTGCAGGGAGTGGATGGAGTGAGGCTGCTTTACTTACCATCTACCGAAGAGGGCTCAACAGGGAACTTCAGGCGGAGCTGGCCTGTAGGTGACTTTCAGGATTTAAATCAATACATTCATATGTCCATCGACCACCTCATCGCCGACCGTCGAAGAAACTCTGCCACCCAGGTACCTGTTCGCCCCCCCACGGAGAGATGAGAAGGGCCCCTCCGCTGCCATGCAGGTAGGCGTGTCCTTATTTCTAAATATCTCCCAGAAGCAATTCTCCATCCCAGTATTGATAACAGTGAAGGGTACCAAGAGGGCTTGATAGATTCGGGAGCTGCAGGTAATTTTATCGATCACCAGCTAGTACAAGAGCTTGACATTGATCTAACACCTGTCACCCCTCCCTTAAAGATTAACGCCCTGGACGGGCAGCCATTGGGCACGGGCTTAATTACGCACCTGACACAGATCGTCACCCTCCAGATTGGAGTCTTCCACACCGAAACCATTCAACTCATGGAACTCCCATTCCCCAAACAGCCACTCATCCTCGGACACCCTTGGCTTTCTCGTCACGACCCTGCCATCTCGTTGCGACAAGGTGAACTACTGTCCTGGTCTTCTACCTGCTTCACCAGTTGTCTCAGCCTACACTGCAGAGCCACCACCATTGACAACTCTGCCTCTGCAATGCCACCCACCATACCATCTGAATACACCCAGTATAGCAATGTCTTCAGCAAAATCAAGGCCTCCACTCTGCCACCACATCGCCCAGGGGACTGTGCCAATGATTTACTCCCTGGAGTGTCCCCACCTAAAGGCCGTGTTTGCCCCCTATTTATCCCGGAAAAGGAGGCAATGGAGAACTACATTGATGAAGCACT